ACTGTAATGGTACGGTAGTCCACCATTAAACACCCCTTCTGTATGTTATACCGTAATCCACCAATAAACGCCCTTTCTGTGATGTTATACCGTTATTCACAGAAGATAATCTCATTACTAGAGTACTGTAATGGTACGGTAGTCCACCATTAAACGCCCCTTCTGTATGTTATACCGTAGTCCACCAATAAACACCCCTTCTGTACGTTATACCGTAGTCCACCAATAAACACCCTTTCAGTGACATTATACCGTTATTCACAGAAGATAATCTCATTACTAGAGTACTGTAATGGTACGGTAGTCCACCATTAAACGCCCCTTCTGTATGTTATACCGTAGTCCACCAATAAACGCCCCTTCTATGACGTTATGCCGTAACCAATAAACGCCCCTTCTATAAAGTTATACCGTAGTTTACTCATAAATGCCTAATTTATGACATCAAACCAAAGTCTACTAATAAATGCTTCTTTGAAAATTGCACCTTATAAGCCCAGTTGTGGAGAGCTAGTGATCATAGATATCAAGATGCCTATTATAAATTCAGATTGTAAATAAATGTGGTGAGTAGCATGTTTTCAATTTTCTTGCCTGTTTCAATGCAATAAATTAGATGCATTTTTTAAATGCCGTTCAGTCCCTATGTTCATGTTACAGGACCAACAAATTTATATTTTTTTCAAGATTTCAATGGCTTCTCCCAACTGATTTAGTGTCTGTATTTTCTACAGTTTTCAAACTGTCCAGGTTTTTCACTGTCTGAAATGGAAAGATTCACATAATTATGTTATTTTGAAACATTTCCTGTCTGCCCATAATGTTGTAAAAATGGTTTTCAAATCTTTTGCCCAGGTGAGAAAATGATCTTACTGACAAGCTTATAATGACTGCATACCAAAAGAAACGTATGCAAAAGAAACATATGTATTGATTAAATTTAACCTGAAAAAAGTTCAAGCAAACAGAAAAACAACTCCGTTTCAAATATCTCTTACACTCAAAACATATGCTTCTCATCATAAACTATATCGTAACTATGTGGAAATTTCATTTCCAGCAGTTTCTTGAGAAAAAAGCGATGCTTTCTTTGTAAACTATCACAGAGGGTTCTCCATTAGTTTATTAAAGGTATCCTCAAATTTTAGTCCGTTTCTGCAGGTACAATGTGAAGAATGAATTATAAAATTGGTCTTTTGTTGAAATGTGGTTCCAATTTCAAATTTTCTTAGGACTTCCTATAGATCACAGTGAAAGGTCAACTGAAAAATAGGTAGAACATATTTTGTGGTAATTTTCTTAATATGTTTCTGATTTTGAAATTTGTATTTTGACAACGCCCTACAAGCCATAAATATCCAGCCTGTAATTCCATCAGTCATAAGTTACTAGTACAAACTATCAGCCTCAACTGGAAGCAAATTAAAACAATTTTCTTCTACTTAAATCCTGGGCACCCCTTAGTTAGACAAGGGATTCCCCACTTATATCATCGGTGTTAAACTCACTCACAGACAGCTAAAAGGATTTTACTAGCTAAATCGGTTTGAATGATATGTTGTATCCGTAAAGCCATCCCTTCTTGTAAGTCTACATTGTCAAGGAAAAAGCTATACCATGATAGGAGTGAGGGCATGTAAACATTGTATGTTAGTGAAAGGATAAAAATACTACAGAATTGATCCAGGCTCAAAGTAAAAACAATAAAATGTATTTGCTTTTGAAATTGAACATTTAAAAAAAAAAAAAATGAAATGTACGCAATCGATTGGTCACCTTGGTGACGACCTTCATCCTGATAAACTTGTTGTCCATGTCTGTAACAGTGTCCAAATAATATATAGAGGTTCCCCGACATGTGCTGGTTGGTTGTGTTATTTGACTGGAGTTAACTAACTTATAAGAGAGATGAGCATGAGGTTAACCAAGTGTCCTTCTACAGTTTGTAAACCATCTCAAGTTCCTACAGGGTTGTTATTTAGTTGTCTAGCCCGCAGCCTTGGGTTACACAATCAAAAATTACCCTCTTAGTTGGAAATTTGTCTGTTTCAACCTCAAGGTAAGGGGGTTGAACTTCTGGTTTAGTGGGTGTTATTCTATCTTACCATATAGGGTGACAAGCTCATCTTTTCAGCTAAAATGGAAGACAAACCTGTGAAGTGTTTGTGAAATGAGTATCTGCCCCTTCAGAGGGACACGGTGCAACTCCCTTCAGAGGGACACGGTGCCTGCCCCTTCAGAGGGACACGGTGCCACCCCCTTTAGAGGGACACGGTGCCACTCCCTTCAGAGGGACACGTTGCCACTCCCTTCAGGGGACACGGTGCCACCCCCTTCAGAGGGACACGGTGCCACTCCCTTCAGAGGGACATGTTGCCACTCCCTTCAGAGGGACACGGTGCCACCCCGTTTGTCCCTTAGAGATATCCCTCTCGCTTGTAAGATCTCTCCCACACCACCACCCACCCCTAGTGATGATAAAGGCACACTGCCTATCACCTGTTGGGGTTTTCTTTACAAGTTTCCCACAGTACAAGTTTTCTTTTTTAAACTGTTAAACAAAAGATAGATTCTACAGAATGTATTATTCATTCTCCTCAAAATTGAATCAAACAGTTGCAAGATTCTTTCAGAATTTGAGTTGAAAGGAAATCTGCTGATGACGACAGCTGGGAACGTGTTTCAACAAAACTACTCTCAAATGCAAAGCATGGAGAGCATTGTAAGATGAGGTTATCTATTTGACATTTGTCAGTTATAGGATGTGGGGTTTGGTGGATTCAGGTTGGAATAATGGCACTTAGGGAAATAGACCAAAACATTGTACAAGTATATGATGATGGTGGGACGATTTTTCATCACTTTCTTTTTGTAAGGTGTGCTGTTGTTATTGGTGCTGATAGGTTAGGGTCACAATTGTACTTGCAAGATCATACAGTCATCTGTCAAGGTCACATAATCTCACCACCTAGGTGATGGGATGACTTTCTCAAGGTCATTAAAGTAGGATAGTTTTGTGTAAAGTTTTACTATTTGGATGGGGTTCGGTAACTTAAATGGCAACAGAATGGGCTACTGTTTCACTTACAATAGTTACTGTATACCAGGACATTTTCTTCCAGTTAAACATCCACCCTTCATCGATAAAATGTAGCCGCCCCATGTTTTATATATTGTTTTATGGCTCACTGATAATGGAAATCACTTAGGGCCATGCTACTATGTTGATTGGCTAGGTATGCTATAGTGTGTAGTAACATTTGCAGACATAATTACGTTATAAGCCTTCATTACAGTCGAAAAACAGAGCAAAAGTTCAACTACAGCATATATTTCCTGGTATACCGTGTCCTATATGTGTAAATTATATTAATAAAGTACTTTTGAAATTTTCTATATCGTATGACTTTGGTGGTTTAAACCGAAGGTTTTGTGGTTAATGTCAATGTAGCTTGGCTCAAGGTCGGTGAGAGAATTTGTTGAGGGTAGTATATTGGAGTGATGATCCGGCAAACGTTGACTCCTGACAACTCATAAACATTAAAGTCACTACAGGTAGACGAGATTAGCGATGCATTATTGTCGTAATTCTGTAGTAACACGACCGGCATTAAAATTCATCTCCTCCGGAGTTTTGAGTGGATCTGAACGCAAAAGAAACGTTTCAACTCTGACAAATGTGAAAATTAAACGTGAAAATAACGACTCTTATGAAGAAATCACAGACAGTTTTTGCCATTTTAAAGTTAAGTTGATTACAGATTATCTCTTCCACATTTATAAACGTAGGAAGTTATTTATTCTGAGCACATTACAGAGAAAGTGAAAATAGCTACACAACTTACAAAATCTTAAATGTTTTTCATCTTTTTTCAGGAGAGGTATTTCATTGGAAATTCAAAACATATGCGTGGGTTAAAAGAAAATGATATGAAACCGTTACAAACATATTGTACATATTATAGTTATTAAGATCATTCACATTTCCTGTTTTTTTATGATGTAAAAGGAAAAAAGGGAATCTTTTAGTTCGGTGATTTGGTAGTTTGATGGCCGAGTGTTTAAATGTCCATTCAAGATTTTGGAAATGTTAATGGGGATGATTATAAAAATGTGAGGCGAGAAAAGTTTCAGAGATGCTCCTATTTCAGGTAAAGACATAAAGACACCATTCAATAGAGTGTTGGTAAATCTCTGCACTATTTTGTTGAACCAGTTTTGAGCGAATCTGATCTAAACTCTGTATCAATGTTGTTTTTCAATAGTAATATTAGGTATATAATTGACAGGATACAGCGATTATAAGTGAATGCTCATATTGTTTTTTGGGGTTTTTTTTCAAAAAAATGTTGTAAGTCTATCGGTGCTCACATTATTCTGCATGCATAAAAAACAGCTTCTACTTTGACAGTTTGTATACAAATTAATATTCAAATGATTGAAAGTGTTAATTGATATTGTTGAGAAATCGTAATTAAATACCACAACACCAACATCACACAAAAAAGTGTGCCATTTCAAGAAGGCCGTGCTGGAGTGAAGGCTTGAACAGATCTGATTGGTCTGTTAAAAAATGTGAACCTTGACCTGATCTTTTTAGTGATGTGAACCTTGACCTGATCTATTTAGTGATGTGAACCTTGACCTGATCTATTTAGCGATGCAACCTCTGACCTGCTGTATAAGAGATGTGATCTCTGACCGGGTCTATTCAGCAATGGGACCCCTGACCTGGTCCATTTAATTATGTGACCCCTGACTTGGTCTGCCAAGTTCTGGGACCCCTGACCTTGTCTGTTCAGTGATGTGTTCCTCATCTAGTCTAGGTGAGATGACCTCTGACCTGGTTTAATTTATGTGCCCCTTGACCTGTTCTATTAAATGATGTGCCCTTAGACTTCATCTGTTAAGTTATGTGCCTTTTTGACCTTTTGTAATAAGTGATTTGATCCCTGACCTTAGGTATACAATATTATAGTTGTGTCCCCTTGTTTATCCAGGGACCAGACCCATGTTGACTGGGTGAAGAGTTGGAATGCATTGTTCAAGGAACTCCAGGCATACATCAAGTCCAGCCACACCACCGGCGTGGCCTGGAATATGCAGGTAAGTGTCATCATCACCAACTATGTATGCTCAACAGTCAAACTGACAATGTAAGCTAATACACACTTCATATGTAGATGTTTTACAGTCTGATTATCTGGTGGGACACCTTTGGATATGGACAGTATCTAACAAAGGAAGGTAGCCATTTCTGTTTGGCTTGAACAACCTTTGACCTTCAAGTAACCTTGACCAAGGGCTGTATCAGATGAAACATACATAAAAAAGGCTGCCCCATCATTGTAGTTCTGATGTTGAGTAATCTTGATGTGTGGAGTCGTGAAGTTCTCTTCTAAGATCATAAGTATGTCTATGTTATTACTGGCAGCTACAAATCATGCTGGCCGATTGGTCACAAACAAGGGTTTTCATCATTACTCAATTCTGATTGGTCAAGATTCCACAGGTTTTCTCCTGTCTTCATTAAAGATAATGATGTCACCAAACAAACTCATTAATTTATTTAGTGTATATTACCAATATCAAGTATGTATATTGCAGGTAAATTTCTCCTAAATAATTTCCACAATTCTGCACAAAAATTAGAAATAGAAAGTGCTTTTAAAAATCAGGTCCCCGACCATAAACAAGCTTAGCTTATGGAATCTACACTGTGATTGTTAGTGCTCCATCTCTCTGATTATTTGTAAATAGGAAACACTTTTTGGGAATATATGTTAGAATCTCAGTTTCTTGACACCGGCAGGCTGACATTTTTGGCAGTACTGTAGTAAAGTTGATGTTTTGTGAATTTGGCCTTTCACCGATTGTATTATCGCCAGCTTTCTAATGGTGTCCCTTATTAAATTAGCCGTGGTATCCCCTGGTAAAAGTTTTTCTCCAAATTAAAATAGTTCTGTCTGTAGAAAATACAATTACACTCACACCATTGTGCCAGAAAAAAATGGCTGACTATGAAAGGGAAGGATTGTAATTAACTGACACTTTGTTGGAGGATTGGAAAGGAATAGAAGGACAAATTGTCAGAGGATTGTAAGTTTTATCGACTGACAAATTGTCAGAGATTTGTAAGAAAATGGACGGACAAATTGTCAGGGAATGCATTTCAATAGATTTCATTTGTCAGGAAAAAATACTGTTAACTTTTTATTTTTGCTTACAAGGAGAGTACTGTAAAAGGAGCCATTATTTCATGACAAATTCATTTTAATGGAAATTTAACAAAGCAGCACAACAGGGAAAAAGGCGAAGTTGTTTCCCTTTGATACATTTTCATCCCCCCTACCCTTCACCCAACTTAAAGAAATGATTACCTGATTGGTTTGTTCTCTTGGTACACGACTCCTGTCTATTATCTGTATATAAATATGTTACTGTTTGGTCTCAGAACATTGGCACTAATTTTCTTTAAAAAAAAATAAAAAAAAAATCACAGATATTTTGCAAAAAACAGGTTGAAAACATCATCAAACTGATAACATAGCCAGAAACATTAAATTGTCCTACATAATGTAAACATGAGTAAATACAAGTATATATACACTATTCAATCATTCAAAGATTTATTCTAATCAGCAAATTTTGACCTATTTTGACACAAATAGTGCTGATATGTGTCATGCTGGCACTTGGGAGGCTTGTATCGGTAGCTTCTGAGTGCGCTCTAGCTGATGTCAAAGTATATTTTGTGTTTGACATATACTAAGTGGGGATCAGTTTAATAAGGATGGTTTCCTTTAATTATGTTGGTGTATATATGTATAATGGTTTAGTAGTCGACCTCTAACTCACTGGTAACAGTCTCCGCTATGACAGAGAACTTTCCATCATATTGTGGTGTTTGGTTTCAAAGGGAATATACTCCATGACAATAATTAAGTCAGAAACAAATTCTGTAGTAATTATGCTTATAAACATTATTGTGTAAAGCTGAATAGATGTCTCCACACCAGATCAACATGGCTTCATTGTCATCTACATTTCAAAGGGGAAAGATTTTCTTTTGATATCAGTTTCAGTAGATCCCATCCCTATGCCTTATTACATCATGCCGATAGCTAGCCTCCGTCCAACCTGTTAGTGATGGGTCCACAGTGTTTCAAAGAAATGGGAATCTTTTGACATCAGTTTTGATACTCCTCTTGGACCTTCCTCCTAAATTATCTATCCTTGATTGACTAACAACATTACAAAATGTTTAGCTTGTATCCCTACTGGCCAAGATAGCTTGGCCCACATGTAAGGGTAGGTGATTCCATTTCAGTCTGCTAGGGTTTTCAGGTTAAATAACATAAACACTGATGATTGATTTAATGCTAGAAAACGCTTTTGTTGGAATGTTGTCAAAAGGTGTCACCATGATTTTGCGTTAATTAATAAAATCTGTAGAACCATGATTTTGCGTTAATTAATAAAATCTGTAAAACCATGATAGGACTGTTGTATTGTAATTGTTTTATGTTAAAACAGTATAGCATAAGATGATAGTTCTTCTCTGTGACAAAGACCAGTCCTACAGTTTTGGTTTGTCCCCACGCTGTACTAAAATGATGTCTAGAGGAAAGCACAGATAGTGCTGGAGTATTGTGACACTTTATACAGCCTACACAGAAATACACACCCATTAAACTATTGTTTAGGTGACAAATACATCTCAAACATAGACACACTCCCATTAAATTATTGTTTAGGTGACATAAATACACTCACATTAAATTATTGTTTAGGTGACATAAATACACTCCCATTAAACTATTCTTTAGGTGACATAAATACACTCCCATTTAACTATTGTTTAGGTGACATGAATACACTCCCATTAAACTATTGTTTAGGTGACATAAATACAATCCCATTAAACTATCGTTTAGGTGACATAAATACACTCCCATTAAACTATTGTTTAGGTAACATAAATACACTCCCATTAAACTATTGTTTAGGTAACATAAATACACTCCCATTAAACTATTGTTTAGATGACATAAATACACTCCTATTAAACTATTCTTTAGGTGACATAAATACACTCCCATTAAACTATTCTTTAGGTGACATTAATACACTCCCATTAAACTATTGATTAGGTGACATAAATACACTCCCATTAAACTATTGTTTAAGTGACATAAATACACTCACATTAAACTATTGTTTAGGTGACATTAATACACTCCCATTAAACTATTGATTAGGTGACATAAATACACTCCCATTAAACTATTGTTTAGGCGACATAAATACAATCCCATTAAACTATTGTTTAGGTGACATAAATACAATCCCATTAAACTATCGTTTAGGTGACATAAATACACTCCCATTAAACTGTTGTTTAGGTGACATAAATACACTCCCATTAAATTATTGTTTAGGTGACATAAATACACTCACATTAAATTATTGTTTAGGTGACATAAATACACTCCCATTAAACTATTGTTTAGGCGACATAAATACAATCCCATTAAACGATTGTTTAGGTGACATAAATACACTCCCATTAAATTATTGTTTAGGTGACATAAATACACTCACATTAAATTATTGTTTAGGTGACATAAATACACTCCCATTTAACTATTGTTTAGGTGACATGAATACACTCCCATTAAACTATTGTTTAGGTGACATTAATACACTCCCATTAAACTATTGATTAGGTGACATAAATACACTCCCATTAAACTATTCTTTAGGTGACATTAATACACTCCCATTAAACTATTGATTAGGTGACATAAATACACTCCCATTAAACTATTGTTTAAGTGACATAAATACACTCACATTAAACTGTTGTTTAGGTGACATAAATACACTCCCATTAAATTATTGTTTAGGTGACATAAATACACTCACATTAAATTATTGTTTAGGTGACATAAATACACTCACATTAAATTATTGTTTAGGTGACATAAATACACTCACATTAAACTATTGTTTAGGTGACATTAATACACTCCCATTAAACTATTGATTAGGTGACATAAATACACTCCCATTAAACTATTGTTTAGGTAACATAAATACACTCCCATTAAACTATTGTTTAGGTAACATAAATACACTCCCATTAAACTATTGTTTAGGTAACATAAATACACTCCCATTAAACTATTGTTTAGGTAACATAAATACACTCCCATTAAACTATTGTTTAGGTAACATAAATACACTCCCATTAAACTATTGTTTAGGCGACATAAATACAATCCCATTAAACGATTGTTTAGGTGACATAAATACACTCCCATTAAACTATTCTTTAGGTGACTGATACACCCATCAGTATTTTATTTGATGACACAAATACACACCTAGCTATTTTTCCTATTTTCCCAATCAAGTGTTGCTATTGTAGTTGTAAGCTGGAATTTTTTTTCCTAGAACAGGACCAGTCTCAAGTTGTCTGAAACTAATCTGTTGTAATTAGAAATAAAGACCAATGAGCAATGCAGGCCCTATGGGCCTCTAGTTTTCATTTATTTTATTTTTTGAAGTTTGAAAGGAAGAGTTATGTTGTTTTTCTGCTATATCACAAACTTTTTCTAAACATAATAATTTGGACGTGTTTCCACAATTCCAGTCTGATTTTGTATACATTAATGGTTCAGATGTGTTTCCACAATCCAAGTCTAGATTTTGTATACATAATGGTTCGGACATGTTGCCACAATTCCAGTCTAGATCACGGGATAGCTTAAATAACAGGGTTGTTTCACTGTATTTTCAAGATTCCCTATCAAAGAATTTCACTAGTTTTATGGTCTCCTGGGGAATTTTGCTGGAGTTTTAAATCTTTTAAATTGAGGAGGGCCCTCTAATTTATGTTTTAATTGAGATTTAACGCCTAATAAGTGTCACTTTCAATCAGGTTTTGTTCATTTGAAAAAGTAGGAAGGATGAAAATTCAAGTGTTAGTGTAGAAATATTGCACGGTTTGTTGGATTTTAAACCTGTGGGAGGCTGTACCAGGTGTTAAGATGTTTACCATCTATACCACTGACAGACCGTCTACAAAACTCGACTTCTCA